TTCTATCTAATCTACGGACCAGAGTTCGCTATCAAGTTTAGGCGAAGACGATGCTTTTTGTAAAAAAAAAAAGAGACCATCTGCTGTTTCATGTTTACATTTGTTGTATATTTATTAACTAAGATGATAATCATTCCTTAAACGTTCTTCAAACTGAAACTATAACTGTTGGAGTTGAATAAGCTGTAAAAAAACAAAAGCCCTGGCCAAAAAAAAAACGAGAGCTCAACTTCTTGTGGGGTAAAAAGGTTTCAGTCAAGTTATTGAGATGCTGTTACCCCAAGTTTAATCTTGCACTTTGAGATGCCTAAATAACCATTAACATCATGCTTAAGTCGCTATCAGCATACATTGTAGGGAATATGAGCATTTCTTGCTGTTGCTAATGATTCAATGTCATTTTCAAACACTCTTCCAGGATAAGAAGTCACAGTCTGTAATGCTTGTTGTTGTCGTTTTTTTTCTTAGTTACCTAAATACTTAGCTGACCTCAAGTGTTTTTTTTCAAAAGCTGAGTATTCACTGAATTAGGTTCAAATCAAGTTTAATGTCTGTAGTTCTTCATTATGTCTAGCTTTCCAAACATTGTCTAACTGGCAATGTTTAAACAATCTGACGCAGCAGCGAGATAAGTCTTGTTTATCAAAATAAAACGTTATATATTATTCACAGTGAGGCTGCAGGCAGTTCATGTCAGACACATTCATATTCTTGCCTATTTTTTTTATGTTCCCTGGGAAACTCCCCTAATATCTGGATTTCACAGTTTGCAAGATAAATGCAGGGTCTGTGTGTGAGGTAAAGCTATAACATCCTCCAAACACTGTTGAGCCTGTTTACCTGCTTTGCCTGTTGATCTTGCTAAAAGCCTCTCACACCCCCTTAATACGCACACACTCTTTCACACACACTCTCACATACACACACAGAACATGAGTGTGTGTACCCAGTTTAAACACACACATTAATAACAACTGTAATGCCATTCTCTGTCGAGTGCTTTTACAGGTTCAACATTGACCTTAGTGTTTAATCTTCCAGCACAAACGACCGTCACTTGATATGCAAACAAATCTTTTGTCACTGTCCGCCAACTCCTATGTTCTTTCAAGGCGAAAACAAGGACACAGCTCAGAGTATTCTGTGTCCTGAGATGATTGAAATATTGAACTATTAATAATATAAGCTATTATCACATATTGTCAGTGATTTTATGGCATTATGATATGTCAAGTGAAACCAGCACAAGTCTGAATCCTTATGAAATTCAAAATCATCGAAATATTTTTCATCAAAATGTGTACACATTTAAACTCAATCTACCTCTGTCATTCAGATTTGTGTTGTTCTCTAGTCTTTTAAAATGAGTCTTGAGGTTAATGTCGGCCCGAAGGTGAAGTTGAAAGATGTGTCCTGCTTTCTGTCTGCAGAAAAGGAGCGACCAACGAAGGAGAGGTTGTGAGGCAAAGACAAACATCTCTGTTTGCTGAAATATGTTGTCAGCATTTCTAATCTCTTCGTGGTGTGTTTTCCCGAATAATTAGGGGATTGACGCCTATCTTTCTCACAAAGATCTTGACTTCCAATTCCTCTTAAAATACCTGTAGATAAGGATCTCTTAGCATTCACCATTTCCTGTAATTGCCCTTTTAAACTCACAAAGCTGAAACATAATGCAACTTAATGAATAATGCTTTGCTATATCACAAAGGAATTTGTTAATCAGTTAATTATTTTTAACTTGAACTGCAAACACCGTCCCCTGTGTTATCAGCTGCTGCCGTAAGATGTCACTGTGGCCCGCTTATTCTTGCGCTTCCCTTTTCACCCCCTCCAAACCGTTGCCCCCCCCCCTTCCAATGGGAAACAGATGGGAGACCTTTGCTGCGGGCTACTGCCAAATGGAGCAAATTGTCATTACAATGTCTGCAAGCTCTGTTTATTCTCTCCAAGCTTCACCTCCACCCCTCGCACCAATTTGCCATCTGATGAGTTCAGCCCTTGTTTCCGATCCAGACGTGTCATTTTGATTTGCCTTCTTTTGCTGATTAGAAGACATTTATCATCTTTAGCACCAAATGGGAAGCAGACATCACCCATTACTTTCCTGTAGGGTCTGCTTACGGGGAGTTGTTATCATGCCATGCTAACTATATTGTTAGTGTGCTGTAAAAACCATGTATCTCCAAAACAACAGATCTTAATGAGCCAAGAAAAATATGAAATACTTTCGATGCCTTTTCAGGTAATGAACACTGAAATAAGACAATCTGAGAGAAGACTGCTCACATAAACATACAACTAACGGATGCAAGAGGAGCCTTATTTTTATACCAGACCATAGTAAATATTAAATAATGAAATAAGCACATTTCAGTTTTCACTAGGCCTCACATGTGAGCCATAGAGTGGGACTGACAGAACATCATTTTATCTAGGGGGATGTTGTATATTGGCATCCTGTATTGATGTATCATTTTATAATTGTAAATTGCTGGTCATACAATATATATTTTTCAGGATTTAACCATTCAAGTCAAGCACCTTCAGATACAACCACACCGTCTTTTTTCATTGCAACACGTTCACCTTCGTCCTTATTCACACCGACTCTCCCCACAAACTTCTGCTTCTCTTCATACTCCTCTCTATCACAGATCCCCTGCTCTGTTCGAGTCCCCAGTCTGGAAGCTAGCACTTCGAATGGAATATAAATGACATCATTATGTAATATTCAATCTGTTGCTGCTGCAATATCCTATTCCACAGATAGCCCAGCACCACCCACCCCATATGCTCCGGCCCCGCTGGTCTCCTGTTCTTTTTCATGGAGAATATTAAAGAGTTATTAAATTAATCTGTGCTCGCTGGCGCATGTTATTGCAGTGCAGAGATTTGTAGGGCGCATGAAGCCGTTAGACCGCACCTTAAGCTGATTTATTAAGAGGTGCAAGGGAATCACCAAACAGACCTGATAACCTGTTTTATTTTGCATAAGTGAACACTTTCCCTCCAATCCGTTTATGCCCCCCCCCCCTTCGAAAGCAGAGATTAAATGAGAGCCTGCTGGGACTGACAGCCTCCGACCTTCACTTCTCCTGGCATTGTCTATTTAAACGTTATAATAAAGTGAGATGTCAGCGAGACAGCTGCGACTCTTTTCTACCTGAATACAACACATGCATCTCCCACCGCCTACATTTGATTCCTGCAGTCATCATCTGGAAGTGTGAGCTACAGAACAAGAGCTTTCCAATAAAGATCAATAGCGGGGAATTGAAATGAATAGAAGTTTAGATAATGGAGCTGATGTTCAAACCAAGCGAAATAAAAGGGATATGAAGATTCTCATGTCTCACGACGACAGGTCAAGCGATTCATCAGAGGCTAAAATGTGACCTATAAATCAAGTTTAAAAGAAGTATATAATAGTTGTTTTAAAGTCTATATTTCTTATAAGGTGAAGGCAGCTTCAAAATGACTGGGCCTTTTCTTAAACTGATCTCCAGGATGCTTTAGTAGACTTTATTTGTATTTTTCTTTACCAGGTAAATTGTTCAACATTTGAATGTGCCCAAGTTAATCTGTTGTCAGAATAGTAAGAACATATCTGTAAAGTTAAAACATTACTGAGAGAAGGCTCATCTTACTAGTATGTAAGAAATTACCCTCGTCCACTTCAAGTCAAGTTAAATATATCTGGTTAACTAACTAAATCAAAATCCAGACTTATTTCTATCTTTTACTCAAAACTGTGCAAATGAGAAAGTGAACCTCTACAATTCAAACTAACTATTTGTAGCTGTTGTCTGCAGCAGAACATGAATTATTTACTGTTTTGTGACCAACTGAGAGACTTTAGTGAGGCTTGCACTCAGCCGAGAAAGGTAGCACACAGTTTGTCGTATTAAAACATTAAAACATGAAGGTAACGGCATTACAGCGGCTAATTAGGATACATTATTAATTATCTGAGGGAGTGCAACAGGAACATGATGTGGCAGCGCGTCCCTGAAACACAACATCACAGAACTGAAGATGCAGTCGACTGTGATCGGATGTGGCCACAGCTCTGCCTAACACAGGGGAATTGTGGGTAGGAAGCAAGGTGCTTGTAGTGGAGCAGGTTTAACCATCTGAAATCAGAAATGTTGGTTTGTTGTGTTTATTTTTTTCATAGCAGCCTGGCAGGCACCTAATGACTTGAGATGTATTTTAAAGACATTACATCTTAATCCTCCCCGAATATTTGTAATTAGTTTCAGGGGAAAGAGAGTCAGAAAAAGACTTGGGAGACGACCGGTGGTAAACATGAAGCTTTTCTGTAAAGACATGAAAGCCAAACTAATTTATCTTACCTAAAAGTGTAAACTTGGTGTAAAAAGAAAACGTCTTGATGTAAAACATTAAATTATCAATTTCATTTTGAGGATTATGGAATAAAAAAGGTTGCAGTGGAGGAATTCAATCCAAAATGTCATCCAAAACATAACATATATTACTAATATATACGTTGTAGGTTTTTGTTTCTAAACCTTTGTAGATATGGGATAAAATGGTCCAAAAATACAATTGGAGAGGAAAGGTGGATGCATCAAAGAATGTCGGAAATATGACTGAAACAAAAAGAGTTTCATCTTTCTCTAACATCATATATTGTTACTTTACACACCCGCAAACACAAACTCTGAAAATAGATCTGTGCATAATTCGGAGGAGAGCTACAGTCAGTCTTGCAGGAAATATTAAACCTGCAGCAGAGCATACAATGAACTTTTAGTGTCGAGCTGCGGCTGAATGAACTTGTCTTTAGATTATGAAC